AGCTTTCCTGCTCCTCTGATGCTGCTTGGCCTGCTGTGTTCATCCAGCTCTACACCTTGTTATCTCAGATTCTCCAGCATCTGCAGTTCCTACTATTTCCAAATCAAGGCGTTGTTTTCCTAAGGTGTTGCAGGTCAGCGAGGACAAGGGTGACCGGTGAATAGGAACTGACACTCAAAAGGACATGGCAGAGTTTTGGGTGACCTGAAATTTATAAAAGGATAGAAAGATAGAAGGTTGGCCAGGTACACATTTGAACATTTACGTTTGCAGTTACTACAGCATAAACAAGTGCGTTAACAGCAAATAATGTGAGACAGAGGCAGAATCAGGTGAGTTTACAGAGGTGTAAATAAGAAATCTTAGTAATAGCACAAACACGTGAGTGGAAGCTCATTTCTGGGTCGAATATGATAATACAACACACCTGTTTTCAAAACACTCTTTCTCTGATGTTCGCCACTACAAAAGGATTATGGATACCTGGTCAATTACATCCTCATCAATTACTTTCAATGATCAGCAAAGTGATTGAAGAGGTCATCAGGCTTTTGACGCACAGCGGTAGTGAGCCAGAAGTTGAGTTCAAGTCCCACCTACACCAGAGGCGGGCCATGATTTGTTTGAAGAGGTTGATTCAAAATATCTAGAAGAGGTCATCAACAATACGATCAACTGGACTTACATTGTAAAAACCTGCGAGCTGATGCACAGTTTGGATTCCAGCATGGCCACTGGGTTCATTACAGCCTTGGTCAAACCCTGACAACCATGGCATCAGGAGACAAAGTAAAACTGAAGTCCACATGTCGGGGGAAATTCTCCATTTGGTGCAGTTATAACTAGTACTAAGGGAAAATGATTGTTACAGACGAATAATATCCCACGAAATTGCTATTCACCTTATCTATGCCCTTCATGATTTGATAAACCTCAACAAAGGTCACCCACAACCTCCTGCGTTCCAGTGAAAAAAAGTCCCAGCTTATCCAGCCTACATTTATAACTCAAACCCCACAGTCCCAGCAACATCCTGGTCAATCTTTTCTGAAGCCTCCCCAATTTCCTTCCTAAATGAGGGCGACCAGAACTGGACACAGTACTCCAGAAGAGGCCTCACCAATGTCCAGTATAACCTCAACAGCACCTTTTCACACAGAGTCGTTCATATGTGAAATGAACATTCAGACGAAGTGGTAGATGCAGGTACAGTTACAACATTTAAAAGACATTTGGATAGGTACATCAATAGGAAAGGTACATCAATAGGAAAGGTTTCGAGGGATATAGTCCAAATGCAGGCAAGTGGAACTAGTTAGTTTAGGAAACTTGGTTGGGACGGACGAGTTGGACCAAAGGGTCTGTTTCTGTGCCGTATGAGTATGACTCTAAGATCCTCAGAGTAGTGTTACTGGCACAATTTCTTAAGCTGTTTTATCAATGACATTTCCTCTACTATAAAGTCAGAAATGAGAATTTTTCCTGACAGTCATTTGCTGCAACTCAGACACCGAAGCTATTCTTGCTCAAACGCAGCAAAACTCGGGCAACATTCAGGTTTGGGCTTACAAGTGGAAAATAACAAATAACAAATGTCAGGCAATGGTCATCTCCAGTGAGACAGAATTTAACCTTTTACCAGTGCCATTAAATGACAAAACCATTGCTGAATCCCCTATAAGCAACATCCAAAACAAAGCAACCCTGTTAATCAGCACCATGCCTACCAGTGAAACAATCACTTCCTCCAACACTGGCATCTATGGCAGCAGCGTATACCCTGTCTCATTTGCTAGTCAACATTTGCCTGACATAGTCATACTCACGACAAACCATGCCTCAGATACCTCATCCTCGCTAATGCGTCTGTCACAAGTTCTATCTTCATACTGTATTACGTAGCACTACCACCATGCTAAATGGGACAGTTTTCAAATAGATCTAGCAACTCAAGACTGGACATCTATTAGGTCCTCTGGGCCTTCAGCGGCAGCAGAAAGGGACTCAAACAGAATCTACAACCACATCCACCACCACATCATTACCACCAAGTCAGAGATCAACACTGGTTCAATGAAGAGTACAGGAAAACAAGCCAGAAACAGCACCAGGTCACACCTTCACCTTCAGTGAAGCTATAACATAGGTTAATTTGTGTGCCAAACAGCAAAAACAGCAAGTGATTGGCAGAGTTGAAAAATTCCACAATGAACAGATCAGATCTAACCTTTGCAGCCTTGTCACATCAAGCCAGATAAACACCGTGGCTACCAGACCAGGTCAGAGGCTAGAAATTCTACAAGTAATTTACCTCCTCACTCCCTGTAGCCTGTCCACTATCTATAAGGCATAAATCATCCAATTGCTTGTACAAGTGCAACTCTCCAGTTACACTCAAAACGCGTCCCATTTGATTAGCATCACTTCCACAAACTTTCATTTCCTCCTCACAGACACTCAGTAGCAGCAATGTGTACCATCTACAGGATGCACTGTACAAGATCACCATTGCTCTTCAGTACTTTTCAAACCTAGGACTTCTACCATATGTAAGACAATGGTACCGAATAAATGGGAACACCACCACCTGCAAAGATCCAAGCTGCTCACCATCCTGGCTTGTAAACATATTGCTGCTTTTTTCAGTGCCACAGGGTCAAAATCCTGGAACTCCGTCTCTAGCAGCACAGTGAATGTACTTCAAATGGACTATAAATGCATGTCCAGCCAGTGAAGCCCACGACCCTGAGTGAATTTTTAAAAAGTTACTTCACAACCTTCACAGGCTAATGAGAAATGTTTGCTGGCTGGAATGGATTCAACATTTGAATTAGTGTAATCTCTTGTAACAACCTTCAAACAAAGCAATTCTTTTGCTTACTGCCAGTGTCAACCTTCTTATAAAGAGATCATTGAAGCAACAGGTATAGGAATTGTTGGTGCAAACCTGCCTATTTTAGTCAAACAAAAAAAAAATCAACTTACTCCATGAATATTGAAGCTGTAACTGTTCACGAACATTAAAGTTTCCTTACAGATAACAAACAACGGTTTCAAAAGATAAACGAAAATCCACTTACTCTTGCTGAAAAGCTGGTCGTCGTCTTCTTTGGCAGAATAATCAACAAGCAAGGTGACCTTAGTGATATGAAATTATCTGTACCGTGACATGTGCACAACTCTGAAAGTCTTTCCCAAGTGACTTTGTGCTGTTGTAGTAATGCTGCACAGAATTCATGGTAGTGTTCTATCAGCAAAACCAATAAATTTGTAATAGATTTCATGTTCACAACATTAACTATTTAAATTAGACTACAGTTTGCTTATTAACTTTTCTCAGTTTAAACATGTTCAGCTGAGTCAGGAAGCAAATTCCTGGTGCCACAGATCTTTGGGCAGAGAGGACACAGGTTGCCTGAACAAGATGGGCTTTCAAGTCAAGATTTTACTGTCTCTCACCTTCCACTTCTGTTGCTACTCTGTAGCAGAGTGTTTGCAGTTAATTTCTGACAGTGATTACTACATTCAGGCCTGTTGGGTGAGGCTTCTCCAATGCACTAGAGTCAGAGTTGTACAGCACAGAAACAGACCCTTCGGTCCAACTGTTCCACGTCAGATACCCTAAATTAAACTAGTCCCATTTGTCAGCATTTGGCCCACATCCCTCTAAACCTTTCCTATTGATGTACCTACCCAGATGCCTTTTAAATGTTATAATTATACCAGCCTACAACACTTCATCTGGCAGTTCATTCCATACACGCACCACCTTCTACATGAAAATGTTGCCCCTTACGTCCCTTTTAAATCTTTCCCTGCTCACCTTAAACCTATGCCCTCTAGTTTTGGACTCCCCTACTCTGGGGAAAAAGACTTTGGCTTTTCACCCCATCCATGCCCCCCCATAATTTTATAAACCTCTTATAAAAAGTCACCCCCCAGTCTCCAATGCTCCAGGGAAAATAGCCCCAGCCTAATCAGCTGCTCCCTGTAAGTCAAACGCTCCAACTCTTGGCAACATCCTTGTAAATCTTTTCCAAACCCTCTCAAGTTTTACAATATCCTTCCAATAGCAGGGAGATCAGAATTGAACGCAGTATTCCAAAAGTGGCCTAAACAATGTCCTATATAAATGTAACACAACATCCCAACTCCCATACTCAAAGCACTGACCAATAAAGACAAGCGTACCAAACACCATCTTCAGTACCCTGTCTACCTGTGACTCCCCCTTCAAGGAACCATGAACCTGCACCTAAGGTTACCTCACAGTAAAACAGGATCTTGATCAGATGATCATCAGATGAGGGGTGGCAGATGGAGTTTTATTTAGATAAATGTGAGGTATTGCATTTTGGTAAGGCAAATCAGAGCAGGAGTTGCACACTTAATTGATAGGGTCCTAGGGAGTGTTGCTGAACAAAAAGACCTAGGGATGTAGGTTCATTAATCCTTGAAAGTGGAGTAACAAGTAGGTAGGGTAGTGAAGAAGGTACTTGGTACGCTTGCCTTCATTGGTTAGTGCAGTGAGTATAGGACACAAAAATCATGCAGCCTGGGACAGTTATCCTCGTTTTGAGGGATTGATGATGATAAATCTTAGTGTAATATTCTAAACAAAATGATTGCATTGGCTTGCACGTGTTCTTTAAGATTGAAATATTTTAAGCTGAATAAGGTGAGCAATGCTTTGAAACCTAATATCTAAGTTCACATAACTTGGATATGGAAGCTCCCAACTGGCAGGCTGTAATGACCCTCTCCCCCAGAAATGACACTGCAGCTACAGATATATAAACTATATTATGTGAGAGCGAGAGCAAGTTAGAGACAGAGAAAATCCATGAAACCCAAGTGCCGAAAGTTGTAAATGGCTATAGGAGGATTAAATGTTTATGTAAAACAAGAATAGGCGCACTTTAACAAAGCATAAGCTAATATGCTTTGAATATAAGAAAATCTGTGAAAAAAAAAAGCAATGATGTCTAAAAGCTAAAAATATTTAAACATCAAAGTCCAAAAATCTTTAAAATGCCCAACTAAAAGAAAAAGTGCTGGTCCTTTAGCTCATGTTGAGCATCATTGAATGAAGACTAAACCAAGTCTAAAAGTTAAATAAAATCAAATTTAACATGTATAACTGTAGGCCAAGTACACCTCAAGGCTAAACGCCAATGCTGAACTTCAAATTCCTTTGATCACTTCACTGCCCTTTTACTAGTCTGTACAATTTTATACTGATGCAATGTTATGCAACAGTGCAACTGTCACATTGAAAAGCAGATAAAGGAAAAAACATGTAATCAGGCCACATATGTAACCAATTAACATGATCATTTATGGTTGTGGCATTCAAATACGTCAACTGAAAAAGGTTTACTACAAGTACTGCCATATAAACTATTGAGCTGTTTCTGAAAGATATGATGTTTTATGAATGGAAAGTTTTCTCTGCAGCATGACAACACTCAAACAATGCTGCAGAAACAAAGATAGAAACAGTAACCACTGCACAGTTAAAATACCTGTCACAGCAATACAATACAAAATTAAACTGTATTCATTGAATATAAATGTAAAAACAAAGTGGTTGCTGTAGCTCACTTTATCATCCTGCACATGTTGGGCAGTGAAAAAGCTAGCATATTTTGTTATCAGAATAGATTCACAAAATCACACACCCAAAATTGTACTTTAAGTTGTCTCAGCTTCATTAAACCAGAATTAGTTTAACACAATCATTTATGTAACTACAGATCTGTATAATTTGTAAAATGAAATGGATCCCCCAACTTAGGAGGCAAAAATATCCAATTGAGGTTGTAAATGTTATTGCATTTTTTTGCCATTTGATAAATGTACCCAATTTCAAACCTATATGCTTAAAATTGCAGCATAAGCAAACATTTCCATACTTCAAGAGAAAAAGTTATTTTATATTAGATTTTCAGATTTTTGTAACCGGAAAGATTAAAAACTCAATTATTTTGATGAAAAATACTTCAGTCTTAAACTGAAATACCACTCTGGTAAATCTCATTTCATAAGCGAGCCGAAGAGGACGGTAAGCACTGTATTTCTTCCAACTGCAACAACGGTGAAATAACAAAAAACAAGTAGTTGCATAACGTTAACTGAATCAAACTGAGTGTGATTCGGTATTGCAGGGAAGACGAAGGTTGGAAAAGAATTTCACCGTACTCACTTTTTCGCCTCAACGACTCTCGGGCAGCAATTAGAATAGGGAGCGAAATGAGTGCCTCAACTTTGGGCTGGTTAATAGGCCGATGGCAGGAGGAGTTGCCTACCGACTCAAGGTGATCATCAGACTGTGGGGAGAGGGCGGGGGTGTTGTTTCTATGAGGTAGAAAGGGACTGTGGAGTATGAGCTGGGATGACCATCTCCACACCTCTCCTCCCCGGTTCACACGCCACCCCCCACTTCAGCCTCTCTCACACGTGCTCGGAAATTGTCAGTGTCTCAGCTGGGGGCCTTCGTCCCGGTTCATTGCCGCAGCCTGAGCCCCGGACGTGCCGAGCGGCCACTGGCGGTGACAAGGCGAACCGGGGACCTAAAGACGCACCTTCTCCTGCCGACTGCCGGCACATTCGCCATTTGATCCGCCTCGGGCAACCCCGCTTTCCGTTCCGCGGATGACCACCAGCGCCTCCGCCCCAACCTCCCCTTCGTGTTTTCACTTCGTTAGCGAGGCGCTGGATTTAATCGATGCTTTCGTCGGAACCTGGCTCACGTGGTGCGTGTGGAAAGTGCGGAACCGGTAAATGGGGAGGGTTTTACTTAGATCGCTGCCATTGCGCGACCGGCGGGAAAAAAGAAAAAAAAACCGGTAGAGTGAAAATTGAGTGGAGGAGAAAGAGAGGGAGGGGGAGAGAGAGAAAGAAAGGCGACTGGAGGAAGGAAGTGCTGTCGGTGAGTGTGCTCCAGGAGCTGATTGAAACCGCGAGGCGCCGTTTAAAGGAGATGGCGGCAACTGCTTTATTCGAGAACCGCTCTGTCCTAGACCCGCATCGACCCCAACGTTTAAAAGAGCACTTTGGGGGCGAGGGGAAATAACCTTAATGCTTCCCTCCTACGATGTTTACTTGTACGGGTTTAACTTTTGTTTCTGGCGCGAGGATCCTTCGAGAAGGAGGTCATTCGCCCATCGTCCCCTGGGCTGGCTCTTTAAATGAGCTTTCTCCCCCACTTCCCCCCCCCC